ACATAAAAAACGGTTAGAACTCAAATTAACAATACTCGATTGTTAAACAAAACTACGACTCGACAACTTGGTCGGACAGACCGAGTTGCTCTGATACCAACTTGTAGCACTCCAATTCTACCTCAATCGATAAATATAATAATCAGAGTTACATAATTCGCATCCAAACCAGGATATTACAATTGCAGCTTAACACCATTGCATTCAACATGGATACATAACACTTTAAACTTTAGATGAACCAACAATAAATTAATCTTTTAAACCAACAAATTGAACAACTACGCAGCGGAATCATAGTAACATCTTTGTCCAACGTTAAAGCAACTTCAAAATAACAAGTACTTAACAAAAATCAAATTAAAGTTCAACAACTGAAATAACAATAAAACAAGAAGCATTCATCCCCCTGAGTATTACGTATCATAGGAATGACACTGACTCAAACTACTGAAGGTATATCGCCTTCACTCTAGGTTACCTGCACGTTACCAACATCAGGGTAACATTCAAACAGAAGAGGTGAGATATCGAACAATATAAAAGAATGTATTAAAAATATTACAATAGAATCAATTCATACATATTCACCATTGCCCAAGTTTTAACATCATAAACATAATCAAATCAACCGCACAACGACTCAGAATGCAATACATGATACAATTCCTCTTTATGAAAATGCATGTGGTACCAATGGAGCAGAACTCTCATCTTAAGAATCTGCCAATAATTAGAGGCATCAACAAGGCATAAGCCTTCATCGCAATTTGCCAATCCAGGCCATCACAGAGTATGCAAATGTATATGACTTAATGAATGCACTATCATATACTCACAACAATCATCATCCATCGCAAGGCATAAGCCCACATCACCGCTATTACCAGTAAATAGAGGTAATTCATCATCTTTTAAAATTTCCTGCAACTTCGCATTACGAACAAGAATTCACAATGACAATCACAACAACACAACAACTCAACATAAATCAACATTGGCCATAAACCTAATAATCTAATACCACCTGAAATTCATATTTTTCAGCCAAATATCCAACACTCGTATCGACTAAAATATACCACAATTATTATGTATAATTATTCGGGCAATTCGATTATACCAGCTTAATAATTATCTGCTAAAATTACTACTTTTTCTTCTATGTACGACATTTATCAAACCCACACATTACTATGCTAATTTAATAAATCTACTACTAATTTATCCTTACTGTTAATATATATATATATATATATATATATATATATATATATATATATATATATATATATATATATATATATATATATATATATATATATATATATATATATATATATATATATATATATTGGTTACTAATATCTATGTTATTTAATACCAACTCTACTATATTAATATTATTCTGCTACTAAAATTATCTATACTTCCAACACTTAATAAAACTCCAATGATTAATTTATACTATGATCCTTCCAAGTAATTAGCCTATAATTTATAATTAATATGCTACTAATTTTCTAAAAGATTGAAAGAATTAATAAAAAGGAATTGGTAACTTAATAATAAGAACTGCTACGATGCAATATTGAGACTCTTGCACTTTTGTCGTCCCCCTCGCCACTCATGGTGTGCCTAGCGGCAAATTTCCCTTTATATCCCATGTGCCACTCGACACACATTCTACCTCTCTCACTATGTGCCACTCGACACACTCACACACACACACACAAGGTGCCGCTCGGCACCCCTTTCCCTGTCGGGCGCCACTTTTCGAGTGCCTCTTGGCACACTTCTTTCAGTACCTGTTTTCTACGTAATTTTTTCAGAAAATTCTTAATACCAGTCTCATATACCAACACTTTAATTACTACAACATCAAATTTTCACAAAAGTAATTCATCACCGAAACTACAACCCAAACACATGAAATTAACAGCAACACTTTCAACACAGTTAACAGGATTTAACAGCAATATTTTTGTTTATACAACCCAATTCCACATATCATTTATCAAACATCCCGTTATAGATCCGGAATCTCACCCTTACCTTAGATTGAAGGTCGCTCTACGACCGATTGAATCCCGGTTTGCCTCTTCTCCTTAATTCTCTCCTTTGCAACTTCTCCTTCTTCTGTAACTTCTACGATCAACTTCCAATTCTTTATTCTCAAATAACCTAATTTCTATTATTACTGAACTTAATAATAATAGTCTATTGGGCCTAATTCTCACCCCTTAATACAACATACCACCAAATTAGCTCAATCACTAATACCAATAATTCTAACATTTATTATTATTAATCAATTAGTTAATTAATTAATAGTAATCTAACAACTTATACCGACGATTCTCAATATATCACAACTTCGACAAATTATCCAAAAATTATTTAATTAAATAATTAATTAAATCAACGGGTGTTACAGGTTCTCTATTTTCTCCCAATTTGACAGGGTGTTTTCATCCTTTTAAAACAGCTTTCCAAACTCTACTGTCCAGAGACTTTAAGGCCACGATACGTGGTTTCCAGTAGTCATAATTACTTTCATCCAGAATGGGTGGTCTGTTCACAATTCCTCCTTCCTTGTTCATAGTACCAGAAAGTATCTTCCCTGGATCTCACCTAGATATAGAGCAGGATGCTTGCTCTGATACCAATTAAAATTCTGGTATTAGATGTGAGATGTCGAAGGAGATGTCACAATACAAATATCTGAGGACAATAGAAAATGCAACAATTATAAAAGCAGTAAAAACACAAATGATTGTTAACTTAGTTTAGTGTACAATAACACCTACTATGGGGGCTACCAAGCCAGGGACAAGTCCACTAAATAATATCAATTCATAGGCCCTCAGTAAACAACTAATTTACGATCTAATCACTTAATCACTACCCGTGCTATACTTCTACCTAAGACACACCTAGGTATGAGATCCTCCTCAAATCCCTTCAATCACTTACATTGAAGAACAACATAAATATTAAGTTTTAAAGACTTCAATCATTCAATGCTTAAAAGCTTATGAATGATCCACAATTAACAACTCAAGTATTAAATCAATACTACAGTGTATGACAATTAAAAGACTTAGACTTCTAAAACAGAAAGAAAGTATTCTTCTTTAAAAGTTGCAGTTCAATGAATAAGGAAGCAAGTCCTTATAAAGGTGCAACAGTGGGCTTGGTCTGAAAAATAAATATTCCAATCTTTTGAACATTTCCATGAAAACAGGCCAAGATATAATCCATAAGGATAATGCAAGTAGAAAAACATTCCTCTATACCTCTCGCAGCCTATGAGTCGCAAATTCTGAATTATGGCACGCATGAAAACAGGAAACAAAAAACTTAAACTGATGTGAGTTGCGTTCAACTCAGAAGGCAGATGTCAAGACATCTACTTCGACATCATTTAAAACAGTTTTCTCCAAATGTCAAGACATTTAGCAAAACATTATCAAGTCATTGTTTTACCAAAAATGTTGCCAACAAACGCTTACACAATGGATCAACAAATGTTGATGCACTTTTATGCAAACTTACCATTATTGAAGTTGACATGCCATATGGTTGTTCGCGATCATTCATAGGCATCGAAAATCTAAACATATGAGGCCTAAAACCACTAGTCCCACTGGTCCTGGGGTTACTGGTTGACCCTACGTTTTTACGGGGGATAAAACGGGTTCACTTTGAGCGTTTGATGATATTGTCATCATACTCATCATAAAGGATATTGCTTTGGTCACATTTGTTGTGGCCGTATTTTTCCCTGTCTAAAGGAGTTGTTCCCCATGGTTACTTGGCGGATTTACCATCTTTCTAACATATTTCTTTTTTGGTAATGGTTCGTTATTTCTAGCTATCCTACTACTCCTCAATCTCATGCAATAGAGTTTGAGAAACTTATATATTAACAACTATATGCAGAAGAACTTTTAAAAAAGATTAAGTAATAATATCTAAGCACAAGGTTCCACTGGGCGTGGCAATTTATTTGCCGTGAATTTTGGTAAACAAGCATTAGTCTTCTAAGTTTAATGTTTTGGTTACATACAGGATCAACTAGATTGATCCTAAGATATATGTGGATAGAATTTCTTAAACTTTCTTGGTAATAGTTATTTCGGCAATAACAAGAATTTTAAAAGTAATGCGAAAATGGTTAATAAATAGTATAAGAATTTAAATAGCTTTCGACAGAAAATGTAAAGGAATGAAAATGATGTTAAAATAAGTAACTTGGCATTGAATAAACACAGTGATTTATACGTACATTTTTCTGACAACTTTTTTCTCAATAACAATTAGATACTTCGAGAATTTGTGAGTTTTATACCATGTAAATGCCTAAATTTAATCCTAAGACATCTATTTATACTAATTCGACACTAACGATAACAAACATTCTCTTTCTTTGAAGATGACACATTTTCGTCTGCATGCAATTCAACCTTCTCAGACTTCCACGCGTTCTTACGAATTAGATAAGACTAAAAAGCAATTAATCAACCTTATTTCAAATCTAACTCCATCAAAGTCTTAATTTAGATAATACTGTCGAACCGCATCTAATTTAAACTTCCAAAATATTCTAAATCTTTGGCCATCACCATCTTGTAAACATAGAACTTTTTTAGTTGAAATCTTCACTATTTCGAATTCCCATCGAAATGACTTACTTCTTTCAAATATTTCCTTTTAGTTTAATTGGAAGCCTATATCTTTAAATTATGTTTCACTGAGTTCTCATCTTGCTAGATACATATACTCATCATACACGAAATTGTCTTTTTCACCATTCTTACAACCAACTTTATTTAATAATAAAACAAGGGAAAACACATATTACAATTTACCCTCCCAATCATTTTTTTTTCTAATCAACAAAAGTAAACAAAGTGATGGAACATTGATGTGAAAACAAGTAAACTGAATTTTGCTTCATTGCTGTCTGTTAAGATCATACCAAATTCTATCTTTCTTTAGCATCCAAAATCGTACGGAACAAGTCCTTTCAGTTCAGGACCACCAAGTCTGTTATTTTCAAAACTGCAAAAAGAAGCACAACAAATGTCAAGAAATTTCAATCACTATAGCTTCAAAATGTGTCATCATACATTGTTTATGCATATTATATACAAGTATACAAGTTTATGCTATAACAGCAAAGTTGTTGTACCTTTTTATTGGAAAGGATCCAAAGTTTCCATCTACCGGTATTGTTCCACAAAGATCATTATTCGAAACATCACTGCAAATTTATTATCAGATGATAAATCAATCACATAGTAGCCCAATAACACTGACACAATGGCACCTCTGGTGTCTGATACATGTTAGTGTCTAACAATATTTGATTATGTTCAATTTATTAATATTTTTAATATATTATTAATATCTATATGTTAGTGTTGGTGTCGTATCTGGTATTTGATATCGTATCAGTATAGGTGTTAGAAAAAACTCACAAGATTTTGAGATGCTTTAGACGAGTGAGTTCTCTTGGGATAGATCCTGTAAGCTTGTTGTTGTTTAGACGCCTAGTCCATTAATACAAATCAATGAGTAAATTAGGAACAAAATAAAGAAGAAAAAAAGAGAAAAAATGAAGACTTTTGGCAAATTAACATAAGCATATACACTTACAAGAATTCTAATGACTTCAACTTGCCAAATGACTTTGGAATTTTCCCTTCCAACTTATTATCATACAAATCCATGCTAATAAGTGCTTTCAATTTTCCAAGTTCCTTAGGAATCTTTCCTCTTAACTCATTCCCATACAACTCCCTGAAAATCAACAATTTGTGTCACTATTACTGGTCTCGAGGCTACATAAAAAAAATACTCCCTTCGTTTCAAAATAAGTGTGTTAGAGAAAAAAATTATTTCAAAATGACTATTTATAATAAATTAATAAACTAATTTAATAAAAGTGCAATGTCTCATAACAATATAATTGTATTTCTTAATTTGTGTAAAAAAACTTTAAACTTCACTCATTTTGAGGGAGTAACACATACAAATACTGCAGATTGTGCAGATGACCAAGTTCTGAGCCCAGAGTTCCAGAAAGATTAGCATTTCCCAAGTCTCTGAAATACAAAGACAAGACAATTGATTACAAAACCCAAACAAACACAATTACTACGAAAAAGAGAGAAAATAATAAAAAGTATTGAAGAAATTGAAGCTTACAAGCGAGTAACAAGGTTGTTGGAGTCACATGTAACATGAAACCAAGTACATGGATTAACCAGTGTTGGGTCCCAACTCTGCAGAACATTGTTGGGATCAGAAAGCCTGTTCCTCAAAGCATGAAGAGCATTCCCTACACAACAAACCAATCAAAACAAAACACTTAAATACAAGAAACAGGAAACAAGAAACACAGTTGACTTGACTTTACAAGAACACAAAACTGAAAAGCAAAGGGAAAAGTTGAGAGATGAACTTGTAAGACATACCTTCAGAGTTGGCTGAGATGGTTTGGAAGGGAAACTGGAGAAAAAGGAGAAATAAGACGAAGTGGGAAATAGAAAGTGCCATTCTTTTCTTGTATGTGAGCAAATTTTAGGGTGTGAGAAAGCTAAAAAGTTAAGGGGAAAAAAACTTGAAATGAGTAAGAGCTAATAAAGAAAGGGAAATGAGGAGAGAAGTTGGACCAAATGGCAGTAGTGAAAACAAGGGTGGGACAAATTTTGGTCTATGCATGTAATAAAAAATATAAAAAATAAAAAAGTTAAATATGATTTTAGTCTCTATAAATAAATCATCATTCAATTTTAGTTTTTATATATTTTTTTAAAAAAATAATGATTCTTTTGAAATTTTCTGTCCACACTTTTAGTTTTTTCTATAAAATTTTTCTATGAGAAGATGATGTGGCACACCACATACATCACTTAAACTACAAAAAATACTTTAGATTGGGGAGGTTTTAAACTTCCCTAAAACACAAAAACAAAAGTAAATTCTTTTCCTTCACTTTTGCTCATATGCTTCCATTACTCGTTGGCTCCCAACACTTCTTTGTGTTAATGCTAACAAGGTTGATTAATTTATACCTTAAAATTGTATATATACTGTGATTTATATTTATATTACTGATTAACACATTAATTCATATTTTAAGCTGACGCATATATTATGATTGTTATTTCTTTCATGGTTTTGGTTGTATCTTCATGACTAACGTGTATTTATATATTTGTAGATTACCATGACTGCAACACTAGGGTTTGATCATGTAAGTAAGTCAAACTGAACATACCCAGAGAACTGTCCAAGAAACAAAATTTCTTCTTGACATTTGATCAAACAGGTGGTGAGCACAATCTAAATGATCACACTTGCAGTGCATGTTCAACATGTTATTAATGAGAAAAATATCATTTTGAATTGTAAAATGTTTGTTAAATATATAATTGTTGTGAAAAACGATACATTTGAAACAAAATATAAAATGTTTCTCTATGATCAAGAAACACACAAGAGTAGAAAATATGAAGAAAAGAAAACAAGAAGAACACAAGGAATTAGTTATTAATTGATATTCTTTACTCTCTCTTAGAACAAGATTACAAGTACACAAGAATAATAAGTAACCTTCTCTCACCCTAAATTAGGATTTGCAGTATGCAATGATGAGAGACTAGTATGCTATTTATAATAAACCTAACATACTAAACTAATGGACTTTTTCACAAATATCCATTACAAGCTAACTTAGAATACAAGCTAACTTAAACAATTGGACATAGCAAACAGCCCCAATTCGAAATACTAACAACCCTAGCATTTTGACACATAAATACTAGAACACACTTCGACTACAATATATAGGTCTATGACAACCGCATGTGAGCTGACTTCAACGGCATGCATATTCCTGTCGAACCAGAAGTTACCCTTCGACCCAATAGAGTTCGATCCAATATCTCAAAAATCTCCACCTTGAAACAAACTCTATAATATCAAAGGAAAAACTAGCTTTCTTCATGCAGCTTTATCAACTGCATACAGTAGAAAAACTTGCAACTTGGCAATGTCTTTGTGATTATATGAGCAGCATTGTGATCTGTCAAAACCTTCAACACTTATACTTTTCCACGCTTAATTACCCATCTGACGAAATGCAGCCAAACATCGACGTGTTTGGTTTTCTCATGATAGGCTGAGTTATTCATCATGTGTATTGCACTTTGACTATCACATTTAACAGTGATAACTTGACCTTGAATTTTCATCTCCTTAGCAAAACCTTCAAGCCACAATTTTTTTTTCACAACTTCAGTTAAAGCAATATATTCTGCTTAAGTGGTTAATAATGCGACAACCTTCTGAAGTGTTGCTTTCCAACTAGTTGTTGTACCAAACATAGTGAAAACATACCCAGAAATAGATTTTCTGGAATCCATACAACCTGCATAATCAGAGTCGACATATCCTTCAATTACTACTTTACTATCTTCACCCAAGACTCGGCCATAAATTAGGACTCTATTCAGAGACTCGTTTATGTACCTTAGAATCCACTTCAATGCTTCCTAGTGAGCCTTTCCAGGATTCGCCATGTACCTGCTTATAAGACTTACTGCATATGTTATGTCGGGTCTAGTATAGACCATAACATACATCAAAGAACCCACTATGTTAGCATATGAGATGCTATTCATATAAGCTCTTTCGACCTCAGTACTGGGACACTGATCTATAATCAGCTTGAATTGAAGGTTTGTTGGAGTCACAACAGACTTTGAATTTGACATACCAAACTTATCGAGAATCTTCCGTAGGTATGTATCTTGAGATAAGCATAATTTCGACTGCTTTCTTTCTCTTTGGATGTTAATCCCAAGAATCCTGGATACAACTCTCAGATCATTCATTTCAAACTTTTTATTAAGTTCAACCTTCACCCTCATTACATCTTCGACATTGTTTCTTGCTATCAGAATATCATCAATATAAATCAACAAAATAACAAATGAATTACCAGGTCAAAATCTGAAGTAAACACAATGATCGAACTGACTTCTAATGAAACTTATGAATACCATGAACTCGTCGAATCTCCTATTTCACCGTCGAGGAGATTGTTTCATCCCATATAAAGATCTATTCAACTTGAACACATAATCTTCCTTTCCCTTTTTGACACACCCTTCAGGTTTTCTCATCAGGATTGTTTTACCTAGATCACCATACAAGAATACAATCTTCACATCCATTTGTTCTAGTTCAAGGTCGAACGGTGCCACCATGGCAAGAAACATTCGAATGGACATGTGCTTCACAACAGGAGAAAACACTTCATTAAAGTCTACAACTTCTTTCTGAGTGAACCCCCTTGCAACCAACTTTTCCTTGTATCTTATCGGCGCCTCTCTTTCAATTCCTTTCTTAACTTTGAAAATCCATTTATATCTAAATAAACTGGCTCCAACAGGTTTCTTGATCAGTTCCCAAGTGTTGTTATCATGAAGCGATTTCATCTCATCATCCATGACCTTCATTCGTTCAGTATCATTTCGACTCCTCATAACTTCCTTATGGTCTCTGGATTCTTCGTCTAGAACCTCACTTGTAGAGACTAAGGCATAAGCTATAAGATCAGCATACCCAAGTATCTGAGGTGGTTTAATGACTCCTTTTATCCTATCTCTTGCCAATAGGTAGTCATCGACAGTTTCCTCAACTTCCTCAACATATTTTTCTTCTTCTTCGACTTCATCTGGGATACGCAATTCAGCATCAACATGCTCCACCTCAACGGGAATTTCTCTATGTTCTAGCTCTTCGTCAGATATTTCTGCACTTTGACCAATATCATCAGTTTTCTTGAAAGCCATTTCAGCTTCATTAAAAACTATATATCGAATGGTGATACACCTCATGTGACCTAGATCTAGGCACCATAATCTATAAGCTTTGACTATTTCAGAGTATCCCATGAACATGCATTTCAGAGCTCTAGGTTCGACATTGTCTTGCCTAATGTGAGCATAGACTACGCAACCAAATACTCTCAGTTTGTCGAGATCTGGTGGATATCTCGACCAAACTTCTTCAGGTGTCTTCATATCTAACACAGTCGAAGGATATATGTTTATCAGATGTGTTGTTGTCGAAACAGCCTTAGCCTAACACACCTTCTTCAATCCATCACTAGTTAACATGCATCTAATGCTTTCTAAAATAGTTCGATTAAATATTTTTGCCAAACCATTTTGTTGTGGAGTACCTGCAGTAGTTATGTGCCTTGCAATACCAGAGGCAGCACAAAAGTTGTCGAAAGCCTCATTGCAAAATTCAAGGCCATTGTCGGGTATTAGTCTCTTGACCTTTATGCCAGTTTGATTTTTGACCAGAGTCTTCTATCTTTTGAAATTCCCAAAAGTTTCATCCTTAGTATTATGGATGAATACCCATAAATTTCTAGAATAATCATCTACTATGGATAGAAAATACCTTACTCCTGAATATGATGGACACCTTCCAAGCCCCCAAAGATCAACATGGATGTAATCAAGGGATCCATGTGTACTTTGTTTGCCTTTGTTGAACTTCACTCTACAAGAATTTCCAAGTACACATGGTTCACAAAATTTTAGCTTTTCGACTTTGTATTCCCAGCAATACAGATCCACCTTCTTGATCACATAATTCTACGAACACAATCTTCACATAATTCACGCACACTCATTACTTACCACTCCATGGAACCAAAAACATCTATAAGGTATCATCTGACACCACCCACACAGCCGCAACCACTCAGGGTCCTCATAAGCATAGTACCAGAACTTGATCCATCTCACTATCGCATGATAGTTCCCCACTATCTAGCACGACATATGGATCCTTTTTACACCTACCTCATGAGAATTAGAGTCTGCGTCTCACGAATACCAAATTAGAAAATTACCTTAAGTTCCGGGTCAACATTGTCCCACATCTGTCATATTTCGTGCACAATAGCGATATTGTGGCGTTATATCTATCTGGTAGTACTAACATGGTGGTCCAACTCCGAGGCCATGATCTCAAGTAACCTAACCTGTAGCGTATAACGATCTCCACTAGTATCCTATAGTCACAGTCGTTAGATGTCTGAACAACTCTTCACTAAGGTCATCTCTCCTCAAAACCTCCCAGCCACACTCCTTAGGATGCTAAAACCTAAGAGTGTCACACAATTAAGGTTTACTTACTCGAAAGCAACAAGCTAGATAAGACTAGATAAGAATTCAACTCGAATTACTATGCCATACACATACTCACTTGCACATTGCATGCATAAAATATTATAAGGATAATTCCTCTATAAAGGAATACCACGGTCCCAAACAACTGACACAATTATGGTTATCTCATTGATGCTCCGGATAGACGCTAGTTTTCATTCCTCTAATTACCCAATACCAAGCATAGTTATATGGCATCACTCGGGATTAGACGAATCATGACTAGCAGGAACTTAGGCCACTATATCTCACTTTCACTTGCTTCAACTTCCGCCTAGCATAGTTCTAGGGCTCAATCGC